TAATTTCTGTTTTATTGAGTTAGTTTTTACTTTACCTTTTCTTTAATCTGCATCTCAGGATGAGCTTTTTGATGTTGACAGTCGATTTCCAAAGAAGAGTCTTTTTATGGAGGAGTTCTCCCTGCTTCCTTCAGGAAGGAGCTACAGGGTGCTATGCTGAAGACTTTTCTGTCTGCTTCTGTCAGCATGGTGAACTCCACAGCATCAGGATGAACTCAGATGAACTTTTGCTTTCAGTGTCGCTGTGCTGTGCTTGTTATATGTGAATACTACATTCATAATAAAAAAAAAAAACCTTGGAGGTGTTATCAACTTTATCTTCCACCTTTAAAAATGTTTGACCTGTTTGACTTTCCTACAAACTGAGGGGGTTGAATTGGCTTGTTGAATTCTGAATTTAGGTAATAACAAGCAGGTATGCTTGTTATTTCAAAGCTGCATTTTAAAGGGTTTGGAGGATAGAGAAACTCCCTCTCCTGTCGGTAGCATCCATAACTTTCCTGATCTGTTTTGTTTTTCAGACAAAGCAGGTATGCTTGTTATAAGGAGATATTATTTGTAAAAAATTACACCGTTTAGACCATTTTATACCTAAATGCATTTTAGTGGTGCATGAAAGTAGGCTGAATTATGCTCCAATATCATCCTCGGATGGATTTGTTCATGTGTTGCATCAGATGGGAGCTGGTTTTCTGAGTGCATTTGACCACAGTGATTACTTGATGGTTCTTTTTATCATGGGATTAAGCGTTTCCATTACCATTAAGATCCTGATTACCAAGGCCGCCCACCCCCTCAGGAAGCTCCGTACATCTTCACTGCTGCTATTTTAGATTTATTAACTGATGCACATAATGCTGGATCAACTCATGAGCTATTTCTGTCTCTACCTTATCGCTTGCTTCAGATATTTTCTAGGATTTTTTTGCGCTTTGACTTAAACACACTGTCCTGTAAAGAGAAGCAGACCTTTGTGCAGAGATGCTCCAATTAACCGCAAAGCAAGTTTAATTATATCTGCATTTTAAAGGGTTTGGAGGATAGAGAAACTCCCTCTCCTGCGAACAGCATCCATACACTGGAAAAATGGATATAAAAATAAGTAGAAATGTCTTACATTTACACTTAATTTGAGTAGCTAAATTAGATAGTTTGCCAATGGAATGAGTATTTTTGCTCTTAAAATAAGAAAATTAGATAAAATGCACCTGAAACAAGACAATGCAATTGTGTTTTCTTATTGTAAGTGTAAATTGTCTTGTTCCATTGGCAACATGTCTCTTTTACCTACTAAATCCAAGAACAAATACACTTATTTTAAGAAAAAACAACTTATCTACATTTCGATTTTTTTTTCCCAGTGTAACTCTCCTGATCTGTTTTGTTTTTCTGGAAAACTTTTTCTTATAAAAAATATATTCTTATAAAAGAAACACCTAAATATTATCTCACATTTTATGTTGATGATCATGAAAAACAAAAATGTCCTTCTGATTCCAATTTTTAGCTTCACGTCCTACAAACATGTTGGCTTGTAGGACGGTAAGGGAGCTAAAGCTGCACAGCTACCAAATGTAGAGTATATATCTACAGTGTTTTCATAAATATGCCACTTTACCAACACTGGCAGCAGAGTTTAATTTAATGAACAGAAATTATCCTTTGAGATGAATAAATTTAATATAAAATTTCATGAGTCTTTTAACCCTTTATTACCTTATTACTGTTGTAACATTCAAAAAACATGGATATTTTGATGACAAATATTAATGTCAATGTAATAACAAGAAACGCCAACTTGCCCGAATGTATTAAGAAAAATAACAAAGGTGCTTCTATAAGAAATTCTTAAAAAAAAATTTTTTTTGGTATATAACCTTAGAAGCATTAATGCTGATCATGGCTGTCATGATTGGTTCTAGGTTAAACCCTCATGCAGAACACAAACGGAGGCTGAGTAAAAGTTGAACAGAGTTTATTGAATATGTCAGACACAAAGACAAGAACTGGATCAGGTACTGGTCCGG